ATTAATTCATCTATTAAATCATCTTAGGTCTTATGATAAATAAATTTAGAGAGTTCTTTTTTATTTGTTGCAATGGAAGTTTCCTGTCAAAAGTACTTCCTTTTACTACAAATTGGACATTGCATTCTAATTATTACCTCCAACAAAAATTAAACCATTTTTTTTATTTTCAAAAACTTCAGTTAATATTTGTTTATTTACATGATGAAATTTTGTGCAACAAATAAATTTTTAATATTAACGGGAAAATTTAAATTTGGATATATTTTTTTTCGAATTGCCGATTTTCTTCCGTCGTCTTACTTATTTTCTTTGTTTATTATATTATATTTTGTATATATATAGATATTTAATTCAAGATAGTTTAAATCATTTCTTAAAGAAATCAATTAAGTTTAATATGAATGTAAACATATAAATATGCGTAAAAGCATATTATTATTATGCAAAAAAAAGCACCTATGAATCTAAAAATTATCAAATTCTAAATTCTATGTGAAATATTTTATTTATGAATCTTAAATAACGAACTTTAACATCCATCAATCATTTATCGACAAATGCATTAATGTATGTAGTTATTTGCGAATTCAAGCAGGTTATTTTAAATATTTCATCTTTATTTGCATATAGTTTCTTAATGACTTATGACATATTCTAAATCGCTTACAGTAAATGCTTAAATATTTTTTTTTTTTAAAAAAAAAAAAAATAAAAAAAATAAAGGAAATTTCCTTGGTTGGCACAAGGAAATTTCTCATATTTACGTATATTATTTTTTTTTTTTAAAAAAAATAAATAAATATTGCTTAAATCATATTCATAAATAATAAAAAAAAAAGCTTTTTTCTTCATTTTTTGTTTCGTAAATTTTTTTCATCTTATCTTAACTTTATAATTTAGTAGGAAGGGTTTCCCAAATAATAATTAAATCCAGGAACATGTGCTAACCCCACAAACAATTCCTCTGTAATTTGTATTTCTTCAGAGGAGGTTAATGTGTTCATTTCATTAGATATAGAAGGCACGATTGCATCGTTGGAGCCTGTAAAATACAAAAAAAGAAAAGAAAAGAAGATAGTTAACGTTAATAGTTGCATTAATTTATTCAATTTCCAAATTAAGAAAAATAAATTTACTTGAGATCACCGGATTAAAATATTCGAAAATCAAATCTCTTTTTTTCCACTGCTCTTTATTGGCTTCATAAAGAGACTGAAAAATATTACGCAAATCTGGCTCATATTCTTTGACATATTTCCAAAGATCTGAAGAGATCCGGGAGACTTGGGGGCGCTCATATTTGTTGAGCAATCTCATGCATC